ACACACACACACACACACACACACACACACACACACACACACACACTTACTTCAATCTCTATGAGATATTTACCTAGGATCTAAGGAAAGATCATAAATGCTTTTTTTTTTTTTTTAATAAGGGGAGGAGTATTAAGATAGAATCCAGCACTTTATCCAGGCTGAGCAAGTCTTCTCCAGAGCTATACCCCCAATTCTGTCATCAAATTCTTCCCAACATTATACACTTAACTCAGTAGTTCAGCCACAAGGTGGCATTTTCAAAGTAATTACAAATGATGTGATAAATGCACATATTTTACCCCTTACATAGTAGTATATATAATAATTTAAAATAAGAATAACATCTAAAATAGGTATGCTCACAAATGACATGTGAATGAAATAAGGATCTGACTGCATTTTGATGGGATTCACTTAAACAGAAACTGACACAAGGAAGGAACCCCACACCTGAGAATCACTTCCTTAAACAGAAACTGTACCGTCCCTATGGGAATCGCTTTTGTTCTCTGAGCTCTTTATAACTTTCAGTACACTTTTAATGCCTACTGCTCGCTCATTTTCATATAACACACGTTTTAGAGTGCTAAATAGATTGTAAACTGGTAGCATATAAAAACTAGGTCTTGTTATTCTCTGAACCACAGAGAGATTTTACATCTGGTAGGTGCCCAGCAGATGCTACTGATGGGTTTAATAAGCGCTCCACATTTGCACTGAAGCTCTGACACAAATTTACCTGCAGCAAACAGTATACATCTGTGGTAGTCTGATGTACAGTCCTGTGAGTTGGGGGCTTCTAGGTTATAATGTACATCCTCCCCCTACTGCAGCCAAGTTCCCACAGAGGCTTCGAGACCTTGTGATCACTCCAATCAATGTGACTCACATCATGTATGAGAAAGGACATCGAAACTTGCAAAAATGTGAAAGTGACATTTCCTCTGTTATTATGTTCCTTAACCTTTAATTCTACAGTCCAAAATCTGATAAAGTATGATTAAAATACAAAACCACACTATCACACTTAAATTGGAAGCCTCTTTTCTATTCTAAACTGCTTTACATTTAAATAAGAGCTTTCAAATTCCTGCAGTAAATGAAAAACAACTATATCACCACAAGTGTTTTTCTGAGACATGAGAGCGCTGACAGGGTAGACAGATGAAAGAAAAATCTTCTGGGCCCTATACTGCTGTTCTTAAAATCTTCTCTCTCCTGAAACAGAGTCATCCGCTTACACAGGTACTCACATTGTGGTGCATGACCATGCTGGTACCCTACTCTGAAATACTACAAACACACATATTACAATTATCACCAACTCTATCTGTAGTCCTCATGGTAGTCATCTCTACTTTCCTCCCAAAGCTCATCCACACATTATAAAAAACAAAGAGTCAGCTAAAGCTCCTCTTCAGGAAATCATCTGCAGTCACTGAACAGACCCACAACCCAGCTGCAGCTCAGTAACCTACCTAGAGCCTCTGCTGCCACCACTGGCTCTACCATAGCACAGAGAACTTGAGGAGATATCAGGAGTCAGGACAGAGGTTCAATGAAGCATTTAAAGGAATGGACTACAGGTTCAAGTGTTTGGTCATGGGGTTGAAACCAGGCTAGATAATGCACTCTACCCCTGAACACGGTCCCAGCCTCAGTTGATTAAACTACTGGTGTACTGTTTCCATTCACAAATTCCAGGCATTGAAATGGTCCTACAGATCAGCAATGAAAATTGCTACCACTTAGATAGCGAATGTACTTAATGTGCCTGCTCAGTACTGCCTGTGGCAAGAACCTCTGATCACTCGAAACACTGCTTCTTATTATGCAGACTCCTCTCCAAACCACTCAGTACAGTGCTCCAGGACCACCTCCACCCCAAGACTGCACAGCAGAGGAAGGAGAGTTTCTTTGCCAGATGCAGGGGTAGGAGAGTCAAAGGCAGGAAAGTTGCAAGTTAAGTACTGGGGCATTTTTTTTTTTTTTTGTATCTCTTAAACTTACACTTTTTCCCGTGAACCAGTGCTCACAGAACATCATGAAAACTCAACTCAAAAGTCACAATTAAGAAATGGCTTAGAGCCGGACGGTGGGGGTGCACGCCTTTGATCCCAGCATTCAAGAGGCAGAGGCAGGAGAATCTCTGCGAGTTCGAGACTAGCCTGGTCTATAAGAACTAGTTCCAGTACAGCCTCCAAAGCCACAAAGAAACATTGTCTTGAGAAACCAAAAATAAATAAGTAAATAAATGGCTTAGAAAAGAGAAGGAAAAAACTAAAACCTGGCTCAGCCCCTGCAATGTATTGGCATCTAGTTATTCTATTTAAGCAATCCTTTGCTAATTCACATTATCTTCCTAAGAAACAAACAAAACCACAGGACACAGTGTTACAACCAACCCTTCACTGTATCACTCCCTCTCTTCTATGACACCTTTTCCACCCCCAGAGCAGCTGATAGCACAGCTGTGAGTTTTCAAAATATGGGGCCCAACAGCAGACACCAAAGTATAAAAAGGTACTCTTTCCTGGAGATGTGAGCACTGAGCAAGTGACATATGTAGTTTTCAATATATTATAATTCAGAACGAAGTGTATTGAGACTTTAAAAAGGAGTGCCAGGTGAGGTGGCACACATCTGCAATTCCAACACTTGAGCCACAGTGAGTGGCAAGAGGATGACAAAGTCAAGGTCATGGGCTGTAGAGATGGCTCAGTCAGTAAGTGCTTGCTGAGCATGAGTACCTGAACTCATCCATTCTTAGCGCCCTCATAAAGGCCAGGCACTGCAGGTGTGCCTGTAACCTCAGCACTGAACAAACAGAGACAGGACGACCCCTGGGCCTTGCTGGCCAGCCAGTCTGGGTGAGTAAGTAAACTATGTTCAGTGGCAGACACCTACTTCACAAAATAAGGTAGAAAGTGACTGAGAAAGACATCTGTAGTTGACCTCTGGCCTCCCAATGCATGTGTGTGTACAGACACACACAGTTCAAGGTCATCCTTGGCTACATAGCAAGTATTATGAAGCTAGCAAGTATCTAGTTTCATTAGACTCAGAGTTTCATCAGACTCTGTGTCAAGAAAAAGAAACAAAACGCAACACTCACAGACCAGGCCTGTAATCCCAGCAGAATGGGGGGAGGGGGCAAAAGTTCAAGGTCTTTCTCAGTTACATAATCAAGTTTGAAGGCAACAGGGGCTACAAGAGACCCTGTTAAAGAAAGAGAAGGAGGGAGGGAAAAGAGAGAGAAAAAGAGAAGAGGGAGAAGAGGAGAGA